TGATTTTGAATTTTTTCGTGCGGGTGGCGGGACACCTCGGGTTTAAAGGCTTAATCAACTTCATGTCATGCTAAACCGGTGTTAAAACGGTTTAAACTATTTTTGTCCATAAAATTAAACATATAATGTCAAATGTTGTTGATTTTCATTGTACTGAGAAAAAAGAAGATTTTTTTTTTTTTATTACTTTTGTATGTGCCACAGAAGAACAGTCACACAGGTTTGAACAACATGAAGGTGAGTTGAACTGTCCCTTTAAGGCTCATATCACCATATTCATTTATTAAAACAAAACACTGATAATAAATCTAATAAATGGATTCAACTGGCCTAATTCAAATCAATAACTTATGAACTGGTGAGTCTTTTCGATGAATAATTGGCTTGAAAAGTAAATTTCTTTTCTAAATGCACGTTGTTGATCTTATGGTGAACAATTCATCCATGCACGTTTCCTTTTTTAAACTCATAACTCAAACTTCCAGTGAAATTTCTCTCTTTTTTTTTTATTACTTTTGTATGTGCCACAGAAGAACAGTCACACAGGTTTGAACAACATGAAGGTGAGTTGAACTGTCCCTTTAAGGCTCATATCACCATATTCATTTATTAAAACAAAACACTGATAATAAATCTAATAAATGGATTCAACTGGCCTAATTCAAATCAATAACTTATGAACTGGTGAGTCTTTTCGATGAATAATTGGCTTGAAAAGTAAATTCACCTTATTTCTTTTCTAAATGCACGTTGTTGATCTTATGGTGAACAATTCATCCATGCATGTTTCCTTTTTTAAACTCATAACTCAAACTTCCAGTGAAATTTCTCTTTGGTGAAGTATGTCGGACTTCTCCAGTCATTTTGTCTGATTAAACACCACCACCTTCTTACTTACAATCAATTACAAGCTCACATTCAGATCTACCTCCATCCAATCAACAACTGATACATAGAACCAAGTTCCTGTCCTGTATTTTATTCATTTTCGACAATCTTTTTCACTTGGATGTGTCACAATGTGGAAAAGATCTGTCGCTACTTCCACTACATCATGACTGTAAAAGAACCAGTTTATAAGAGTTGTTTCTTCATGAATCAGGTGAATGCTTGTTTTAGCAGACAGAAGTAGAAAAATCGGTTTGTGTAGGATTATTGTATTATTTTGTAGTCTTCATCTCAATTCATGCAGCAAACAACTCAGGTATCAATGGCTTTGGATTCAGAATAGCAGTGTATGATTCCTGCTTGCGTTTTGTTTACAGTAACACAATGGAGCAAATCCTCGAAAAATCGAGCTAAAGACTATTCAGCTGCATTTAAAACCTTGCATGTTAACTATTGAGGGTGACGTCATTTGCCCAAATCTTGCAGCTCTCCTGCAGTGACAGTATATACATTGCCGAAACGGCCACACATACAGGCATAAAACTACCCACACAAATAAAACCCTATACACATAAACAAACGCCCACACATATACAATTATACATGCACACAAACACATACCCACACAGATACAGCCATACACACACCTCCACCTTTCTTCCTGTGTGCTTTGAAACTTTCTGAGAATTGGAGAGCGCAGTGTATGTGACCACATGATGGGTGCATAAGGGGTCACACATCTCAGAGCGTATGCGTTGGAGTCATAGGAAAGTAGCCGGCATATATAACACATATTACTGTACATATATTTAAAAGACTGGCCCCGGCACACTTTCCACTCTGTGTAAATTCTGTTTTGTGCTTTAAATCAGATCGAAATCATCACTTTTAAATACAAAACAATGCTCTGCATTAATATTAAACAGATTGCAAATCCTAATTCTTGGCTAAAGATCTGCGAAAAGCTAGTTAAAATAGCTTTATGACTCTTGAATTGAGTGCACCCATCAGAAGGATGCCAGAAACGCAGATTCTCACACTCCGCCAGGTGCTGCAACACAGTGTCTACAACACATCTGAGGAGGAAATGGAGGAAAAAAGCTCTACTTATTTACACAAGAATGCAAGATGCATGTGTTTGCATCTACACATCTGTCTATGTCTGCAGCCACTTACAGGTCTATAGTATGCATGATCTGGTGCAATACAAAAGAAGAAAAGGAGAGGGCAATTGAGTGTGAAAGTGTGTAGACAATATCAATGAATTAATTTTTCTTGTTTCAAGACCGACAAGTGCAACTGAAGTTTCCCTCTCATCATCATGAGCAAGTTAGTGGATGATAATGGTGACTAATCCCAGGTTTCCTCAAAAAGCAAGCTACTTTGATGTGGGTGACACTCACACAATCAAAATCTCTACAATCAATAAAATTACTCATCTTCATCATATATATCCTGATCAACTGTGACTGCTCCAAGGACTGAGGATCAAGAATGTGACCCCATAACCCCCCCATCTCATCTCATCTCACCTCACCTCGTCTCGTCTCGTCCAAACAATAGCAAAAAATATTTTACTCATTTAATAACCAAAACCACTTTAATTTCTTCAATTGATACTGCAGACAAAATGTGACCCTGGACCACAAAACCAGTCTTACGTGTCAATTTTTCGAAATTGAGATTTATACATCATCTGAAAGTTGAACAAATAAGCTTTCCAATGATGTGTGGTTTGTTAGGATAGGACACAACTATTTGAAAATCTGGACTGTGAGGGTGCAAAAAAATGAAAATATTGAGAAAATCGCCTTTAAAGTTGTTCAAATTAAGTTCTTAGCAATGCATATTACTAATCAAAAATTAAGTTTTAATATATTTACAGTAGCAAATTTGCAAAATATCTTCATGGAACATGAGCTTTACTTAATATCCTACTGATATTTGGCATAAAAGAAAAATCGATAATTGTGACCCATGCAAAATGTTTTTTTGGCTATTGCTACAAACATACCCCAGCGACTTACAGTAAGACTGGTTTTGTGGTCCAGGGTCACAAATTTGCTTTCATGCTGTGATCTTAATGTGGCTTTAGTGCTCAGGAAATGTCTTCTAGAAGCTACAGCCAATGACTTCAGGATTGATTTATGTAGGTTTTAAATGACTGAAAGCTAAATTTCCAACAACTAACAACTAAAAATGCACTTTTTCAAAAATAAGTTGCTCTTCAACTTTCCCCGTCTCCAACTTCTCTGACCTGTCGGCCTTGTACTGAATTCTAATAGTGGCAGACCACTGGTAATCTGACTAATTATTCAATCAAGAGAGGTCAACCATGACAGTCCTGTGAATCCACAATCTGACTTTCACTCAGAAAGGGCCGTTGGGTTCTTTGAGTGCTATTATGCAACTGTATTAAACACAAGCAAGCTGAGTCACTTTATTCTTTTCAGATGCTCTTAAACTAACCCACCAACAGAAGGCCTTTAATACAGGTCACTCTACAGCAGGTGATGAATGTCCCAGGGAGAGCATAGAAAGGATGTCAGAATTGGGTGCAAATTAGTGACATCTTTAAGCATGAAAGTAATGAAAATTAGCCCTCTCTCTTACCTAAATGCATGTGTTTTATTTATTTTAAAAGTCTTACACAGGACTTTTTTTCAATCATTTAGTCTGCTTAAACCCCGTCCCTGCAAGACCACAAAAATTTTCAATTTAAGAGAGGATCAGTGCAATTTATATCTTTATCTTTAAAAATTGAATTTTAGTAGCAGATGGGCCATGAATAAAATGTATATTCCCATGATACACATTGCAGTGTCAATGATACGTTATGAAGACAGAATCATTCAAATGTTCAGCAGAAAAAAAAAGTTAAGGTAAAAAACAAGGTGGACAAATCCAATACTGGTTAAACACATGCTATTTCTTAACTTAAATGCTTCTTCAGATAAACACAGATTCGTGAAAACCTTGATTTGTGGGTGTCATAGGACATCTTGAATTACACAAGCTCTGGAGAAAATCTCTTTGCCCATTAAGTTGGTAAGACTTCATAGCAGCCTGGGAACTGGATAAAAGGGAAGAGGGGGGAAACCTCACAAAATAATAAGCTTATCATAGCTTTCTGGCTTGTCAGGCACACAAATGCAACAAGGCAGTTCTAGACTACGTTTAAAAAGAAAGGGACCAAAAAAATATTTTAAAAAAGAGACAAAACAAATAGCAAAAATCCTTCGCCCCCTACTCTTAAAATCGGCGCTAGCAGCTCGAGCTAACGCCGCAGTTTGAGAAGGGCCTAGCGCGCGCATCCACAACACACCTCCAAACTCCATCGCGTCCACCCAAAAAAATGAGGATACATACTGGTATACCGCGCAATTGGGCCAACATATACGGTCAGAACAGTTAGAAAAGCATCAAAGGTTGTGCGGCAACTCACTAGCAAAGAGTAACTTTTTTGGGAAAGGGACGCAAAGAAAGGGTTAAACAGAAGGAAACATTGGTTGGTCGGGACGGCAGGCGTGCAGGCCGTTCGGCTAGCAGAGCTAACATCCCGAGTGCACGTACATACAGCTGCGTGCAATGGACTCCAGCTACGACAAGACCCGCTTTTGCAAAATTGTTAAATGCGATTTCAAATCGCCCCATCGAGGTGAATTTAATAGACCTGCTTTGCAAAGCGCGTGCAGCGACAATAAGACTATTTAACCCTATGGCTCATAACAAGCTAACATCCCCGACTTTCACTCCTTACACCCCCAAACCGCCCAGATTTATACTCCTTCAGAGATTTTTTTCATTCATACAGACGTGCACTCGCGGTCTACGAGCAGTTACGTTAGTTGCAGAAGACTCTCGATGCATTCGTATGCAAAGCAGCATTAGGCAAGAAAACAATAACAATTTTTGACGATTCCTGTTCTTTGCAAACAAAACCCTGCAGATCGTCCGGTGAAAGTAAGTGGTGTAGTGCATTGATTGCCACGATGACAGCATCATACCTTGACAGATGTTCCAGTGATGGTTTCTATGCATGCGGCGAACAACTGTCATCGCTGTGGATAAATGCAAAAGCAGAAATTAACTTGTAGCAGAAGACTACTCACCCGAGTCACGAGCGCCCTCTCCCTCATACCGTCCACCTCAAGTTGTGTAGAGATCCGATAAAACACAAATCTACAAAAAAACGACTTGCTTCAGATAAACTATTCCTCGACGGAGTTTTCGCGAACAGCGTACAGTCGCATGCACGTGCGGACGAACTATCAGAAATCGCTCTGGTTTCCTTCTAGACTGTCCGAGCTCACCGCTGTTCTTGTTTACAAGCCATCGCTACGTGGCTGGCCTAAGTCTCTCGCATCAAGCATCCTCCGAGTTCATCCGAAGCGCTCGAGCCGCCGCTGTCTGCACTGAAGAAAGCGCGCGTGGCGTCGGTTTTTTTCTCTTCCCGTCCTCAAAGAACGAGACCAGACAGTTCAGTGCGCACGCCCGTCTTCCTCCCTGCGGCGAACCACCTCGATAAAAATGACTTTTTCACTTGATGGTCCGTTTGCGGAACACAATGAGAAATTGCAGCTGCCAGTTCAACGTTCTGAGGAAGCACCAACAATTTTGAGAGCTTTGTTTTCTTCACCATCACCACACCGGTCCAGGCCTAATGTGAACTGAGAACTTTCAGTTGGACACTCTTAAAAGCCAAAGTTATTTATTGGCATTTATGGTTCCGTGAATAACTTTTAACATCCATTGAAACTTTGTAATGCACAAAAGGTTCTTTATAGTGGAAAAAAAGGTTCTTCAGGTTATTAAAATATTAATTAATTTTAAAAAATGGTTCTTATTTAAGAGCTCTTCACTTGAAAGGTTCTTTGGGGAACCAAAAATCAATTGTAGAATTGCTGTGAAAAGCATTAAACTTTTATTTTAAGAGTGCAGAAATGCGGTTTTCTTACTTAGCCTACTGGATTCTGTATCAAACTGGTAGCTACAGGAACTGTCTTATAAAACATTAGACTTTAAAAAACTTTAAAAGTGTCTAAACGGCTAGTAAATGCCTTTATTTGCCTTATGCACATGTTTTAGCTCTCCATGGCCTAGCACCAGAGTCTGATTTAATTAGTCTGATTTAACTTTTGAGATCTCTTTGCTCAAATGATCAGCTGAGTCTGATGGTTCCTCAATTGCACCTGAAAAGTAAAGGTTATAGAGCTTTTTCTAGACTCTGGAATGAGCTTCTGTTGTATTTAAGAACAGGGCTGCGTTTCCCAAAAGGATCATAAGCCTAAGTTTGACCTAATACTGTTACCAATGGAGCTACGATCAACTTAGGTTTACGATGCTTTTGGGAAACGCAGCTCAGGACAGGAATTGAGCTGTGTTGAACTCAAACGGTAGAGTATGGATTTGATAAGTTCGATTCGAGAATGCAGGAACTGATAAAACGTATACTTTGTATGTAGTTGCTTTAGACAAAAATGAATGTAAATGTTAAATCTAGTTCTGGTCCTTATTTGATTGGCTAAACAGCATCCAAAGAGCTGATTTAGTATTCAATTTCTGTGTTCACAGCATTCCAGACCAGAGTTCTGTAAGCAGTGCATAATAAAATGGAAGCTGGCTATTTGAAATAAATGGTTGGGTCACACAAGTTTGTCTCCTCATAAATGAGCTAAATAAATAAAACATTTCTGGCCAGTTTTATTATTCCTCTTCAAGAGAGCACAACCTGTGTATAACTAAACGGTATATCAATACTCTCAATTACAGCTATCACCACGAATTTGCTACTGCCATTTATTGACACATCCCCAAATCCAAAGTCAAGTTTTGGGTGAACTATCCCTTTTTGATAAATGAAAATGAAAATTCTGTCATCATTTACTCATCCTCATGTTGTTACAAACCCACAAGGCTTCAGATCATCTTCGAAACGAAAGAGAGATTTAAAAAAAAGAGAGATTTCCGTCCCTCTATTAAAAGTGCTCTATGCGTGTGCGTTGATCAATGTTGTGTGAATAAAAGCCTAAATTAAATCAGTCCATCATATACAGCAATCATGTCTCTTCAGAAAACTTGGATTTAAACCTCTCAGTTAACACGGATTTATTTGATGATCTCTTTAAGAAGTTTTTGAAACATCATTGTGTAACGGATTTTCAGTGGAGAGACATATCTCTCAGGTTTCATTACAAATATTCACAATTTAAATTTTTGGGTGAACTTTTAACCCTTATCACTTACAACCTTATTTGTAATGACTTTACAATAACACATAACATTCACACCCTAATGTCATAAATACAATCATTCCAGCATGGCATAACTCACATACACTGTTCCAGACTTTTAGCAAAGCCACTTTACCTATAAGCAACAGCACATTAATCATGTAGTAGTGAATATATCAGCATGGCTATTATTACCTGTTCTGTTATTAAGTCTGTTCTGATATTCAATATTCAGTAACTGCACTCTATGATATTACTTAAATATTAAATTCAGATGTTCTGTGGGAGTGTTTGGCATTCTGAGCATAGGAGGACGTGAGGAAATCAATGATATTTGAGTACATTAAACATTTGAATTCTCTGAATAGTGTCCTCTGGTTGGTATAAAATACGTTTCTAGCGAATGAATTGCTCAAAAGTTTTACATAAAACTTTACATAAAACTGTAGTTTATTCAAACTCCAAATCATTTGGCACATGTCTTATAAACATGTGATATAATGTCTTATAAACTTATGATAAACATTTGTCTTGTTACTCATAAAAGTGTTCGGAGCACAAGTGTAAAACAGGAAAGAAACATCAACATCCTGTGTGTAAAGACTGTTCTATCTGTGAAGTCTCAAATAGTAAATGCTATGATTTCCACACTTCTTCCACACTTGACTTCTCTATTTAATGTGCTTCTTTCATCTCTTCTAATATGCAGTACTCATATAGCAGGAATATAGATATAACAACAGAATTACTCATCCGTGCATGCTGTACTCTTGCAGTGAAGGAAATGTCTGGCTTAAAGCTCTCTTGAGATTAATTTAACATGGACGTTTGCATTCTCACATTTTTGATTTAAAAACCAAAAGCTGCTTCTACTCAATTTAAAGCATTTCTTTATGTTTAAGTTGCAGAATTTTCTAGGCAAAAGAAAGAAATAAGTGGAAAAAGACAATGACGAAGAAGAGGGGATGAGAAAATAAATTGTGTAAATTATTACAAAATATAATATCTGAATGTTAGAATAACTACAATTAATGTACTACTTGCATTAAACTCAATATAAACATTTAGTCATTTTTTCTTTGTTTTCCATGGTCTGACATAAGCTTTTTTGTTTTTTTTTAAGAATTAAGCACTGATGCCCTCTAGTGGACACTAAGAGGCATATTGACCTCTGAAGTGTGCTTCACAACAGATGAGGAAGAAAGTGGTCTACATAACATAAAAAAATCATTTTAGATGCGTCTACAAATTATAATAATGGATTGCTATAATAATGAGAGACATTCATCTGTATTTTGATTTAGTATAAATGAATAATTTTTACTGATTATTTTATCCATTCACCACTTGTGAAACAAGGGTGTTCCTTCTGCCACATACAATGACAAAAAAACAACACAGTCGTTCTTGCAGGTGCAGAGGGTGAGATTGATGTCAATCATCCAGCACGCACTACTCACGAATGCACAATTTAATTTAGCTTTGCAAGGTATTTAGATCAAATTCTGTGTATGGACAATTAAGCTGAAATGGCGTAAGGGTTTCAAACAATATCAATTCACATTTAGCCAAGGAAAACGTTTCCAAATGCAAATATATTTGTGCCCGAGCACATTTACATACACAGACTCTACATTACAGACTCTTCCCCTTGGTTCCCCTTCACTCTTTCCAACTGCTGAAGCCACCTTGTGGAGGTCCATACTTTAAAGAGAGAAAGAAAACTCTTGGACTAAAAGAGAGAAAATCACAGGGTATATTTGTCTCTTTCAAATTTGCCTATAGGCTGATTAGATAGTTTCATGGGTTCTACAGGCATCACCATTTCCAAAAGTAGCCAAACTTGGGGCAGAAGAAATGAAGCGAGTGTGTGTGTCTCTAGTTTCCCTATCACTGTGGTATCTGAAAGAGCATTCCCTGTCCAGACGGGAGGTAGGTAACATTGCGAGAGCGGCTGAGCTGGAAGGCAATGTCCTCAGCTGCTTCCAGCTTTCTTAGCTCCACCAGGCCATCACCAGCTTCTGCCAGAGAATTAGCGATCAACAGTGCAGCCTGGGAGTCTCCTTCTGCTGATATAATGGTTGCCTGCTTCTGCTGCTCTGCCTGGGAGACAAATACGGAGAGAATGTTAAAATCACCTGTTGCTAATGGACAAATAAAATAGTATTTTTCAATTTTATATGTTAGAAGAAAAAAAAACCCATTATATTATGGCCACATCCACACGAAGCCAGAGCTTTCCCTATCCAATCTTTTTTTCCCCTTCGTTTGAAAAAAAAAAACATTCTGTAAACACGGCGTTGTCTCAAGAAATATTTGTGTACACATGAAACCACTGAAACCTAGGGCTGCACGATAAATCGAAATGGCATTGAAATCGATTCGACAGAAGCTGCGATTGTCATGCGTATCTTTCAGTGAGGCACGGTTCTGTGATCAGCAGTAAATCTCCATCCAAAGGCCAGAGGGTGCTCTCGCGCTGAAATTCAAAATACGCCTGGCAGAAGAAACCCAGGAAATGCTTTTAGCAGTAGCTGGATAAACAGAAGATTTAAATGTTTTTATTGATGTGACTAATAAACACACGATTATGACAATATATGGTTTATCTGAGTTATTATTGTTACAATTTTCATTAAAGTAAAGTATATTTATAATGCAATGCCTTTATCACTGCTTAGAATACTATGAAATATGTTGCGTGCCTTATTCTGTGAAGCCACATCATCTCACAGAAGGATTTATTTCAAACACTCGACTGACGTGAGTTTGGAGTAAAAATATGTTATTAAATGTGGTATTTTCACATGCTTTCAGATTGAGCAGCATTTACTACACTGAGCAGTTGTCCTGACATTTTATCTTACCCATCAGATTGTCCTACCAGGGTTTACTGCGCATGCGCACATTACTGTAAGGGTAGGTTTAGGGTTGGGGTAGGTGTAGACTTTAATAAATCAATCCAATAGGTAGAAAAAATTATTTATTGTTGGTTTCCTGTATATGCGAATATAACACAATTACTGTATTTGCATTTCTGTAAGGGTAGATTTAGGGTTGTGGTAGGTGTAGATGTTAATAAACCATAATTTTACAGGTATCATTTTTCGTTGTCGAATTGTACTACCCACTGTTTTAATGGGCGGTAGCAAAATCTGACAGGGTAGCACAAATCGACAGAACACCATAGTTCACTGAGAAGCTATGCAAACAGCTGTCATAATCGCAAACGATTACTTCAATTTCATAATCGAGCAATAAAATCATCTGCAATTTTTTTTGCGTAACTTGTCAGTGAACTACGGCTCTGTGTAGTAAATGTTGCTCCATCTGAAAGCACGTGATCATGATTTACTGCTGATTACAGAACCGGCTTTACGAACAAAAAGCGCATGACAATCGCATTCGATTAATCGTGCAGCCCTACTGAAACGGACTCAAAACGATGTAGTATACATGCCAGACCAGTATGTGGCGCTGTAATTCTGCCACAGAAATGCACTAAAAACAGAGACGATGACTTGGAGCATGTGCATAAACCCTGCTCACTGTATACAAAGATTTTTGCTTTAGTAATTTTTGATTTTGCTTTAGTAAAGCTAATAGGTTCAGTAGCTTCTGCAGCACAAACACAAGCATGTCGTCTGCCATTGTTGTTACGTGACGTAGCGGTGTCTGACTATAGGGTGGAGACATCATCGTTTCACAAAATATACAGATTGGCTGTACACACAAAAACGCAAGGGTGTCCTTTTCAGATTTATCCACTCTGGGACCCGGTTTCAGGCTCCCAAAACGCCGGATCAGTCTGGACGAAATGCCAATATGATACAGCATTTTTACGCATACAGCTAAACCGTGTGGACAGGCTCTATATAATACTCTATATAATAATATTTATTATCACTTTTCAAATGTATCATTATTTTTTACAAAATTGAAAATAATAATTATGATATAAATATAAACATACAATTACTACTGTTCAAAAGTTTTTTTTTAAACTCATAATTCAACAAGGATGCATTAAATTGATCAAAAGTGACATTTATAATGTTACAAAAGATTTAAATAAATGCTGTTCGTTTGAACTTTCTATTCAAAGAATCCAGGAAAAAAAATCTCAACTTTTTATTTTATTTTTAATATTGGTAAGAAATGTTTGAGCACCACATCAGCATATTAGAATGACTTCTGACGGTTCATGTGAAGTAGTGGCTGCTGAAAAATCAGCAAAAAATTTGAAAACAGTTCATTTAAATTGTAATAATATTTCACAATATTACTGTTTTTACTGTATTTCAAACAAATAAATGCATTTTTGGTGACTTCCTTTAAAAATATGACATTTTACCAACCACAAACTTTTGTACAGTAGTGTATATGTAAAATGTGGAAAATACAATGGAATTATTTTGCTATTATTTTAATATAAGGAATATTCCAAACTATTTTGGTAACTGATTATTAACTGATATTCTGGTAATCATTTTTCACCATACAAAATGCACATTTTATTTAGTAGATGCTTTTGATATTTAATTGTGTGCATCACTTACAACAGTCAGATTATTATTCTTACAATTCCACTTAAACCATTTAAATATTGCTGTACTGAATAGGTTTGGTATGAAACTGGAGATTAACTCAGTTTTAATTACTAATCATTTTACTCACATTTGGGGAATGTTCGCTTTGGCACTATTACATTTTGAGGCTTTCTTACCTTCTCTACAACAAATCTGGCTCTCTCAGCCTCCTGCTGTGCAACCTGCTTCAACTCAACAGCCTCTGTGAACTCCTTGCCAAATGTCAGATGTGTCTGAGGGGAGGGAAAATACTAAGGTGAGGCGGGAGGGTGGAGAAAAACAGAAACCGAGAAAAGCAGAAGCCTTTACCAGGGAGACGTCATCTAGAATGAGGCCGAAGGTGGATGCTCTTTCCGTCAGATCCTCACTGACCTGCCTGGACACCAGCTCTCTCTGAGTGATGAGCTCACCGGCATCAAAACGGGCCTGCCGAAAAAAAACGAATACACGATAAAACTTGCATTTAATCCATTTAAGTTTTCTGTTTCATCTCCTGTCCTGTATATGTTGCCCAACACCCAGCCCTGTATACACTACTGTTCAAAAGTCTGGGGTCAGTAAGTTTTTATGGTTTTGAACAAAACTCCCAGCAAGGCTACATATATTTAATCAAAAAAACATGCGTTTCACGTAATAAACCGTAATCTCTTCCGCTAACTGTTGTACGCGCGTTCACGAGAAAGTGGCGTTTCAGTGGATGGCGTAGGCGTAACATAAGCTCCGGTGAGAATATGTTAGTCTTAAGAGAACCAAGTTTTGTTTACAGCAAAGGAAAACCAGTCTCCTCTTGGCTTATATCGAAAACCTTAGCGGAAGCTAGAAATTACGGTTTATAAAGTTTTAAATATGGATATTTTTCTTACACAGCCACATCAATTCGCTTCAGAAGGCCGTTATTAACCCCCGGAGCCATAAGGAGAACTTTTTAATATGGATGGACGCACTTTATTGGAATCTCAACAGCCATTCACTGCCTAGGATGGATTGAGGGTGAATAAATCATGGGGTAAATTTCATTTTTCATTATTTTAACAAATTTACCATCAATACAGATGCTGCATTGATTGCATCTGACATGTTTACTCACTGAAATGCCTCCAACTCTGAGTTTCCCACTCGTAATTAAAATTTTGTGGTGGTGTTCATGTGCATTAAACTCATAAATACGATCTATCTGACATGACTTGAATGCACCATCATTATTGTCAATGTAAGTTGCACTGCTTAATATTTTTGTGAAAAGTGTGATCCATTTTTTTCAGGATTCTTTGAATAGAAAGTTCAAAAGAACAACATTTATTTGAAATACAAATATGTTGTAGCATTATACGCTTTCCAGTTTAATCCATCCTTGCTGAATAAAAACAAACAAAAAGTTTTTATGGTTTTGACCCTTTTTGTGTTTTTATGTTTTTTTTTTGGTTTACTGACCCTTTGAACGATAGTTTACATGTTTTCATAGCTTTATGTGTGATACTCACCACTACAGACTTCAGAACCTCGGTGGTGATGGAGGGCAGCACTCTCTCATCATAGTCCTCTCCGATACTGGTGAAAATCTGCGGCAGCTGTGCAGCGACTGGTCGGAAAAGGATTCTCAGCGTGATGTTGACATTCTGCAAATCTGAGAGGGACACAGACAGACCATTGTGCAGTTTCCTAAGTTTTATTAGTAAAGGCAAAAGAATAAACATATTGTGATGCAGAGAGAGAAAGAGAATGATATAGACATTAAAGAATAAATGAAGAACAGAAGTCAGACAAAAAAAAGAAAAGAGAAATAAAGACTGAGGAATGACGTACCTTTGCTACCAGTGATGACAGGCACATTGCGTGGACGGGACCTGCAGTCAAAGATGATTGGCTTCTGCACCCAGGGAATTAGGAAGTGTGTGCCCTCCCCAACAACAGCATCCTGAACACCTCGAAACCTGTCGAAGATGACCGCCCTGTGTCCCGCATCCACTACAATGAAAACCCACACAGAGTTAGACAACAAGCTCTTCAAATGTAAATGTAAACCTGGCAAATAAACACCATATATATATAATCATTTTGTAAACTCAAAACAGCTATGCCACTTTTTATTAGGTACATTAGAAAGTAATGCAGCACTGAACTTACCATTGAAAAGTGCAGAGTTTACTACACCTCCTCCTACGGCCAAGGCCAATCCCAGCTTTCCAATGGACTCGAAGAGCTTTGCCATAGCAGCAATATAACAGTCCTGGTGAGAGAAGTGTATATTCATCTTAAGCATCTCATTCTGGCATCACTCATGAATGTAAAAACCCTAATTAAACCATTCTGACCAGTTAGCCTTGAGTCTTCAGCAGTAACACTGGCATGAGTTAAACGTGCTAACCTGTTCTGACTTTGAGTGCCTCAGACATGATCACAGACAAGCACTGGTAAAACAAAATTACAATTATAAAAACTGCCTGGCAAAATAAGTATTCGCTAATACGATAAATTATATGAGAAAAATTAAGAGGGATTAAAATAATCCCGTCGTAGTAAAGTTTATTTAATTAGCCTGCTAGACGCTAATACTGCAACTAACATGCAATCAAGTCTCGCTGCTTTCCCACTAAGACGCGCTAACCATGCTTGTTTCTCTTCTAATACGCAACATTATTATTAATGGCCTTTATGTAAAGTAAAGAAACACCAAATCCATGTTAAAATACCGCTAGCGTAGTCTCTTACAACGTGATTACTCACCCACTGCGCTGATAGCTCACAGTGACCTCCACGGGAGCCTGCGTAAGAAACACATGAGAAGGTGGCGTCTGAGCATGCGCAGAACCTTCAACACAGGCTTCTTCTTCTTCTTCTTATATTTTTACGGCTGTTGGCATCCAGCGTATTGGTGCATTACCGCCACCTTCTGCTCCGGAGTGTGGATCAGAAAATAGGTTTACAGACTAAATCACCCATTCTCCCACCTCTATCCCGACACATACATACCTACACACGCACACCTTATCCCTGCCCTGCTTTATAATAACATTAATAACAACAACAACAACAATAATAATAATACTTTACCTACCTCACTATTCCTTTAACTCTTCATATCCTATAAAAAACCCCAGTTACTCTTAAAAAGTTTATAAGAATTCTGGTCTGTGCCCTATGCTCTGTGCTCAATAATCCTTTTAATGTAATATCCTGAACCCCGATCTCCCTTAGCTCATTCCTCATCCCCTCTCTCTGTGCTCCAAACCTGTTGCATCTCAAGACCACATGCTCTACTGACTCCTCTTCCTGACAACCCTCACACAGTCCAGTATCATGCCTCCCTATCAATTTAAGTGTTTTATTTAATAAGCAATGTCCCAGTCTTAGCCTAGTTAACACAATTTCTTCTCTCCGATTTCCACTATCAACAATTTTATGTTTAACTTCCCTTTGGATTTGATATAAGTGCCTACCTTTCCCTTCTCCATCCCACCTCTCTTGCCACTTTTGATTTATTCTCTCCCATATTACACTTTTAACTTCTGCTTTGCTAACACTTACTTGCATTTCTATTTTTCCTTTTGTTAATGCCCTTTTTGCTAATTTATCTGCCATTTCATTCCCCCTTATCCCTACATGACCTGGGACCCATATAAATTTCACCTGTCTTCCTTGATTTACTATTCTTGTCACTGACTGGAGTACTTCAAACAGTATATCTTGACGACTTTTAGAATAGAATGACCTTAGACTAGCTAGAGCTGATGCCGAATCTGAGCATATCAAAACTTTGTCCTGTCCTGTCTTTTCCACCCATCTTAATGCTATTAACATGGCCAGCATTTCCACTGTGTAAACCCCTAACTTATCAGATGTTCTTCTATTTACTCCTATACCTCTATAACACAGGCTTCTCTGATTGGAGAGAGGGACACAGAAGGGAACGCCCACGCGAGTACCGATCTTTTATTGGTTTACGTCTGCTCGCTGCTTTAGAATGAGGACTGGGCTCAACCAGAGATTTGCTGCGTCCCAGTGTGCCTACTATACACATACTACGCCCTTAAAGTATGTACTTTTTTGGTGAAGAAAAAGTACACACTTTTGAGTGTGTAGTGGAAGAGTAGGCAAGCTTTGGGACATAGCCTTCTATATTTTTGACAAACACAAATAACATGTTCTACTAATTCCTCCATTCCACAGTGCTCACATAATCCTGTTGGATGTTTATTTATTATTTTAAAGTTTTTATTCAGCATAGTATGCCCAACCCTTAATCTTGTTACAATATTTTCCTCTTTGGTGCTTCTTTTAGTTATTCTCACTAACGTTACTCCTACGTCTGGTTGTATTTCTTAAAGTTGACGTCCTGTATTTCCTGTATCCCATTTATGTTGCCACTCCTTAGTGGTATATGCTTTAATTACTGCTTTTGCTTCATATTAACTAATTGAGATATTCATGATCTCCTCGTTTTCCAATGCCTGTTTTGCTAATCCATCAACCTTTTCATTACCCTTTATCCCCCTGAGCTGGTATCCACATAAATATTATCATGAGTCTGTTGAGCTTATGAATGCAATGGGTAATCAGAGACGTTCAGATGAGTCATCGCTGAAACGCGCTGTTGCAGAGATATAAGTAAGATATTCATTTCACCGTGTAAACAGCTTCAGTGATTTAAATGGGAGTTTTTGAGAGTGCCTGAACTCTGACTAGACTGAAGTGAAAATGTTCTTTGCTCTCTGTAAAATGAAAATGTTATAGCCTAATATAGTAACTTACAATATTGTTATTAAATTCACATTAAGTACAAAGTCAGTCGTATTAAAAATATTTTGGTACGCATTTACTTACACATGTTTGAGAATCGAGATATTTCCTGATACACGTTTGGAAATATTTCGAATAAAAAGGGAAAAAATTAAATAAAACATAAGCCTATATCAGTTATACAGTGCTATTGTGGCTGCTGTGTCACATGAAAAGCATGACGAGCCCCCACCCCCCCACTCGTGCCCCCTCAAAAATCATGAGTGCATGACGCCCCTGAGTGAGATACATACATACACTATCAGTCAATAAATTTTTGAACAGTAAGAAAGATCAAATAAAAAAGATCCAAAGATCAGCATTTATCTGAAATAAAAAGCTTTTGTAACATTATAGGCTACATATACCATTCAAAAGCTTGGAGTCAGTAT